CTGCTGGGTCAGAGTGGCAAGACATCACCAAGCCAGGCATGGGGCTCTCAGGCATGACTGGCTAAGTAATGTTGGGTCCCAGAATCCCCTCCCCTCTTCCTCCACCTCCAGCAATACTTGAGAGCAACTTCAGCAAGGTATTATCAAAAGAACCGCGCGCGCGCGCATGTGTGTGTGTGTGTGTGTGTGTGTGTGTGTGTGTATGTGTTTAAAGTCCATTAACATTTATTCACATACATTATTGGTCAATTTGTATCTATCATATTTCTACTTCCTGAAAATAGAGAGTGCAAATAAATAAATAAATGAATAAAAGGAGAGGGGGAACTCCTAGTGTTACCTGAAATGGGGCTAGGGACTGAACTTGGGGCCCCTCACTCCCCAAATGTCGAGTCTATCCTCCAGACCTCTGAGCTTCCTCCCATTTATTGAGGGTGAACATCTATTAATTATCACATTAAATAAAAACAGAAAATTATCTTTATTTTTGAGAATGAAAATTTTAATTAGGAGGTCAGTTGAGAAGAAAATTCTAGGTTTCAAAATTTAAAGTTCATGCTAGACACATACTTTATTTAGAAAACACTTAGATATTAATCTCTTTCATTTTAATTAAGGCATCTACTTTATTACATAACCATATTTAGAGGGGTGATTGATCCCAACATTTAATTATTGACTCCTAAGACCCAAGCCTTAGTATGTAATTTTCTTTTCCTGCCCACCTGCGAGATTAATATCAATAATAAAAGAGTATTGGTACAAGTTTAGCTATGTAGCTGTCGCATATAACAACAAAGGACAAATTACAAACTATGATTCAGACAGTCCTCACAGATGTTAGCTGAAAGAAAAATTTTAATATTACACTCAATTATCATTGGGAGAGCAACATGTTCTTATGTAGTTTTTATTTTTCACCCCTTCGGGAGGATGGTGGGTTTTTGGATCTCACCTGGCGATTCACAGGGAGTAATCCTAACTTTGTGCTCAGGGTTGTCTTCCAGTGGTACCGGGGAACCATGTGTTACTGGGTTCAAACCTGACCCTCCTGTATGCAAAGTATATGCTCAGTCCTTCGAGCTATATATCTGATCCTTTCTGCAATTTCAGAAAATTTCGAATAATAAAAGAACAGGTTCACATTAAAACAAAAAGATGAATCATATAAAACTTATAACCCCTACACTAGTCCTGCTAATGATTATTTAAGTTAGAAAAAAATTTAAAGGCTTCTAGGTGAAGAAGTCTAAAAATTCACAGATCTAATTACATAAAATAATTAGATAAAAATAAAATATATGCGTATATACATCAGAGCATTATGTTACTTGCCTTGTTTGTTTTGGGGGACCACAACTGGGAGAGTTTGGGGAATCATGAGGTGCTGGTGACCAAACCTGGGCTCTATCATGTACTCCAGTCTTTCGAGTTAGCTCAAAATTCTATTCCTTTCAAATATTCAACTATAACTAGGCATTCAATAGAACACTCCTTCCGTACATGTGCAATCTTTTTCTCTGACCAGGCAGCACTAAAATCTAACAAAGAATAGTAATACTGAGTGGATGGAAGGAGCCATTCAATAAATGCAAGACAGTTCAGAAGTTTAAGGTGGGCTAATATTCACTAATACTCTTGTGGCTATTCTAAGTCAAGAATGGAATTCAGAAAATTCAGAAAACAGAATCAAATTTTCTTAAAAGTTAAACTTTTTAAACAACAACTATTTTCAGATCACTAAATAACAATTGAAAGCTCAAGACATGGATGCAGAAAGCATAGATGTAGAAAACTAAAATTTCACACATATTTTAGTATTTAAAATATAATGAAATTTCTGGGGGTGTATATTGGGATTTTTGGTGGTGAAAAATGAGTACCGGTGAAGGGAAAGGTGTTTGATTATTGTATGACCGAGACTTAAACCTGAAAGCTTTGTAACTTTTCCCACAGTGATTCAATAAATAAATACAAGAAGAAAAAAAATAAACAAAATTATGAAAAAAAAAAGGTGGAGTTCATATCCAATTCAATCAGTTACTCAGTGGCTGAGTAAACAGCAGTAATCCTACATTAAAAAAAATAATGAAATTTCTGAGTACCACTTATTGGATATAAGAGATGTCTCAGCGTCTCAGCACTAGCCGTGCTCTGTTTTATGTAACATAGGCCAATAATATGAGGATTGTTATTACAAGCATTTAATAGATAAGGAAACAGATGCTTTGAGTGTTTGAATAGCTTGCTGGAGGTCATGCAGTTAGTCAGGAGGTAACTAAACATCCATTCAACACTAGTTCTGTCTAGTTTCCACTCTTAACCTAGCTTCTATTGTATAAGAGTCATCATAAGAAAGTATTTGCTTGCTAGGAATGGTATACACTGGGAGAGAAAGCAGAATGCAGGAATTTTACAATGTCTGGAATACTCTAATGTTCTAATTTTTTTTTTAAGAAAAATAGGACAGTGTATCTCAAATTGGAACTTTACCAGCTATACTAAAATTCTAGAAACCAAACAAACCATGGAAGCTGTAACCACTATGATGCTATTTCTATGGAAAACAATTTCTAAGTTTTAACTAATAATGTCATGAACATAATTATTTTATTACAGCTGCTTAAGAGAAGAAATTTTTCTTGCATAGCACTTCTAGTTATTATGTATTTGGGAAAAAAAGGAATAATAGCCTGCATTATTTATCTGTTAGAATGGGTCATTCAACTCACTTTGTTTCTTTTTTTTTTTTTTTGCTTTATTTATTTTTATTTTGTTTTTATCTTTTTAAATATCCTTTTGGCTAGTCATATAAGTAAAAAAAAATCTTCTGGTTTTCAAGAACAGAGCATCAATCCCAGAGTTGTTTGGACAATGATTTTTTTGACTGTGGCTAAGCATACTATTCCAAACCCTGCCCTTTGAGTGGTCTTTTACTGAGTCTATTCTGGATGCCCTGAAAGGACTCTCTCAATTGGAGAATGCCGATGGCATGAAGCACCAACAAAACACAGGGACTGAGCTAGTGCAGCCGGTAGAGAACTTGTTTTGTAAGTGGCTGACCTGAGTTCAAAGGCATGCGGGTCCTGGGGCTGAGATCTCCAAGCCTACTCGGATCGGGGCTGAGTATCTTCTACCCATATCCTCCAAATTCCAGTAGGCAGGGGTCACACCCACCAACTGGCCCCCTGGCATCATGTAATCACATCAACGGCCGAGACTCAGAGTCTATAAAACCCAGCTCCCAGAAGAGAACAGCGCAGAGCCTCCTGCCCCCGCGCCTGGCTGTCCTCACTGGGGCCCCTTGGAGGGGAGCGGGTTGAGTTTTCCTCCCTGCCCCGACCAGGGCTCCGGCAGCCGAAGACCTCCAGAACCAGCCACCACCATGCTGAGACCACTCTCTGCACACATGAAGGTACTGGCAGAGGAACAAAGGCATGCGGGTCCTGGGGCTGAGATCTCCAAGCCTACTCGGATCGGGGCTGAGCATCTTCCACCCAGATCCTCCAAATTCCAGTAGGCAGGGGTCACACCCACCAACTGGCCCCCTGGCATCATGTAATCACATCAACGGCCGAGACTCAGAGTCTATAAAACCTAGCTCCCAGAAGAAAACAGTGCAGAGCCTCCTGCCCCCGCGCCTGGCTGTCCTCACTGGGGCCCCTTGGAGGGGAGCGGGTTGAGTTTCCCTCCCTGCCCCGACCAGGGCTCCGGCAGCCGAAGACCTCCAGAACCAGCCACCACCATGCTGAGACCACTCTCTGCACACATGAAGGTACCGGCAGAGGAACAAAGGCATGCGGGTCCTGGGGCTGAGATCTCCAAGCCTACTAGGATCGGGGCTGAGCATTCTCCAACCAGATCCTCCAAATTCCAGTGGGCGGGGGTCACACCTACCAACTGGCCCCCTGGCGCTGCGTAATTCCATCAACGGCCAAGACTCAGAGACTATAAAACCCAGCTTCCGGAACCTCGCGGCTGCATTTGCGGCTGCGCAACATCTTTATATCTGGTTCCTACTTTGGACAAACTGGCAGGCTACCATATGTAACCAGCCCACACGGCAGAGTCTGGCAAACTCCCTGTGGCATACCCAATATGCCAAATACCAGTAACAATGATGGGTCTCATTCTCCTAACTCTGAAAGAGCCTTGAATATGGCAATTTTTTAAAAATCTCAGGGCTAGGAGGAAGGAGACGTTACTGGGGCCTGCTCGAGGCAATTGACAAATAACAAGATGGTCGTGATCGTGATCAACCTGAGTTCAATTCCTCAGCACCACATACAGTCTTCTGAGCACTGACAGAAGTGATCCCTGAGTGAAAAACTGGGGGTAAGCTCTGAGCACAGCTGGGTATGTCCCCTCCCAACAAACAAACAAACAAACAAAACCAAAACAGAAAAAAACAAAAGAGAGCATAGCAACGTTAACAATTTCAGGGGCACTGATGCTATCTGGGAAGCTGGTTTATTTCCAGCATTGGTAGGAAATTCTACAGTATATGAAATTTTCAAATACAACTTACACATTCAAAAAGCAAACGTGAAAGATTAAAAGTTTTTAAGATTAAGAAGTTTTAAGAAGACATTTGAAAAGTATATCACCACTCCTAAGTAAGGAGGTTAAAGATAATTGCTACGTGGTTCCTTATTTAGGTGGAAAATAAAAAATAAATAAACTCTAAAAAACCAACCAAACTAACTTCTTGACTTGGTGAAAACTATAGTGGTTCCCAGAGGGAATGGGGTGAGGGGTAAGAGGGCTGGAAAGAAGGATCTTTGACAGTATGGGATGGTATTAGAACTTTGGTGGTGATATGAGTTCTAATAATATGATACACGTACAGAATGTAAAACCAAACCTCTAAAATTCTATGGTACTGTAAGCCAATGATAAACAAGTATAAATTTTTATATCATAGAGGGATTTTTTAAATGTATGTCATATCTTAAAGGAATAATAACTTTAATACCTTTAGGCACAAAACTAAAACTTACCTTCGGAAATCAGCAACCAACTTGACATCAGCTATGACCATCTTATGCTCAATAATCATGTGTTTGAGAAGTTTGTCCTGTTCAGCCAGAGGAAAATGTTCTTCACAGAAAATACAAGGCACAGATGGAGAACCTTCCAAAGCAGTGGTGCCACCTGGACTTTCTGGCAGGGAAAGTGGTTCCAGGATACAATCTTTACTATCTGGGAGAGTCAAAAAGAAAAAGGGAAAAAAAGGGCTGAAACTAGCTCTCTTTAGAATGATTTCTTACCTCTTGCATTAAAAAATCCTAAAGAAACTTATATGTACCCCCAAAGGAAAATAAACAGTAACAGAGAACAGTATACTTTATTAACATTAAAAACGATTTCTACAAGTCCTGAGGCAGGGAGTATTGCTAAGCAGATCAAACTCTCCTTTGAGGTTTGATGGGAAGAAACTCAGGGCAGCTGTTCAAGCCTTCTTCTTGGACACTGGTCAATGTCACATCTCCCAGAGGTATTTCAAGAGGAGAGGAAAGGCTAAAATTTGCTGGATTAAAATTCTAGGGTCCAAATATGATATATGATTGAGAATCATCACAATATGGGCAACAAATTGTATATACTTAGGCTGAAGATGATGCCAAAACAATCCTTTAAGCTGCTTCCTACTGCACCTGCAAACCCTCTGCTGTTTCAGGTTATTTGCCACATGCAACGAAGAGTCTAACCACGTTTAATGGATATAGGCTATATTGGGTGGTCTAGGTCACAACTTTTTGGGTTGTTTTTGGGCTGTAGTTGCTCAGACAAAGAATGTTAATGATCACGATCACGACCACCCTGTTGTTCGTCGATTGCCTCGAGCAGGTGCCAGTAACGTATTCTTCGTCCTAGCCCTGAGATTTTTTTTTTTAAAGTGTCATATTCAAGGCTTTTTCAGGGTTAGGAGAATGAGACCCATCATTGTTACTGGTATTTGGCATATTGGGTGTACCACAGGGAGTTTGCCAGACTCTGCCGTGTGGGCAGGTTACATTTGGCAGCCTGCCAGTTTGTCCAAAGTAGGAATGAGATGATAAGATGTCATTCGCGGCCACGTGCTTCTGGGAGCTGAGTGTGATAATCTCTGGATCCTGGCCATTGTTGGAGTTACACGGCAGTTGGTGGGTGTAACTGTCTAGTTACTGGCAGGTCCAGTCCCAAACCGTGCAGGCTTGGAGATCTCAGCCCCGGGTCCCACACACCTGGGTTCCCCTGCCAGTTCTTTTATGCGTGAGGCTCATCCAAGTGTGTGGAGAGTGGTCCCAGCATGGCCTTGGCTGGGCCCCGGTGGTCTTCAGCTGTTGGGCCCTGGTGGAGACAGTCAAGCACAGGGTAGGAGACTCTGCCTTGTTCTCTCCCAGGAGCTGAGTATGATAATCTCTGGATCCTGGCCGTTGTTGGAGTTACACGGCAGTTGGTGGGTGTAACTGTCTAGTTACTGGCAGGTCCAGTCCCAAACCGTGCAGGCTTGGAGATCTCAGCCCCGGGTCCCACACACCTGGGTTCCTCTGCCAATTCTTTTATGCGTGAGGCTCATCCAAGTGTGTGGAGAGTGGTCCCAGCATGGCCTTGGCTGGGCCCCGGTGGTCTTCAGCTGTTGGGCCCTGGTGGAGACAGTCAGGTACAGGGTAGGAGACTCTGCCTTGTTCTCTCCCAGGAGCTGAGTGAATGTTAATGAATATAATGAAAAGTATGCCATATTTAATTAAGGCTAATTTTTAATTTTTAATTTTTTTTTGCTTTTGGGTCACACCCGGCAATGCACAGGGGTTACTCCCGGCTCTGCACTCAGGAATTACTCCTGGCCATGCTCAGGGGACCATATGGGATGCTGGGAATCGAACCCGGGTCGGCTGCGTGCAAGGCAAACGTCCTACCCGCTGTGCTATCTCTCCAGACCCAAGGAAGAATTATTTTTTAAAGATAAAGATACTCTCCACTAAACATAGAGTAAGAATGCAAAGGAAATGATACCATTCCATGCCAGAGGATGTTTCTACAGATCTGAATCCTCCATATATATTTTAGTTTAGAGGACTAGCCTTCAAACATATTTACTTTTCATTACCTGGAGTGCTTTTCAAAAGTATTAGTGAGTTCAACTGGCCTTACAGTTGAATGGGGGAAATGCAATTGTTGCCAAGAAGTAGTTCCTAGACCATTTCCTAGAAATCCATGATTCAGTTTCATTTGGGTTGTAGGTATCCTACTTATTTTGAGAGTGCAAAGCTCAGAAAGAACATCAATGATGTGACAAAAAGGCCTTATGGCAAGGCTTACTTGCTATTTTATTCTGCACTGAAGAAAGTCTCCAAATACTAGGCACTGGGAGAGTAAATGTAATCCAGTAAGATTAGCCTAACAGATTGTTTATTTCCAGCTGTCACCAGTAAAATTCTATCTACGTCTTACCACAAGCTACCTAGATAAGAGATACAGAGACATTGCTATAGAGGCCATGAACTCTAATGATTAAAAAGGAAAATTTATTGTATCAGCAAGAAAGGCAAAGGATCTTGGAAATTCTGTTTTGGCCCCAAATCAGCTTCACACATTTGTTACAAATTAACAACAAATTATCTGCTCTAGTTCTCACTTTGAACAGCAACTCTCTTCAAATGAAGTGGAAAAAAAATACTATCCTAAGGGAGCTGAATTTTTGAGGGGATCCTTTAAGCCAGTGATGCACAATTTTACTCATTTTGGGTAAGATCTTCTAAGTGTCAAAGTAAGGTAAAAAGGTAAAGGCCCTCCCGTTGATCGTCGATTTGCTCGAGCGGGCCCAGTAACGTCTCCATTGGAGACTTTGTTGTTACTGTGTCTGGCATATCCAATACTCTCGGTAGCTTGCCGGGCTCTCCGAGAGGGGCGGAGGAATCGAACTCGGGTCGGCCATGTTGGCCGCGTGTAAGGCGAACGCCCTACCCGCTGTGCTATCGCTAAAACAGCATTTCTCAAAGTTCATTGTGCATATAATCACTGGAGAATTTGTTAAAACCAAGATTCCAATTTAGTAAGTTCGGTGGCCAGGAAAACAAGTTAATCAGATCTGTAGCTCTGATAATAATAGAAAGATGGTCTCAGGTCCCACTTGCACTGAAGTCAAACTAAGGCTGCTCTTAGTAAATGACTGGAGCCAGCAGAAAACCTGCAGCAGATTCTTTCCTGCGAAACATAACTTCACTGACAGATGACATTAGTGAGAGATCTAGCCTTACGGGAAACTTCTTACAACTGTGTTGCTGAGATGCTACTCAGCCCTTCTTTCTTCCCTCTCTCTTTCCCAGACCTTAACACAATTCCAACCAGCCTCCTACTTTGCCTCTTCCACTGTACTTTTCAAATTCCATTCACATCAATTTCAAGTTGGTGTGTGTTTGTTAGAGGCCACCAACAGAGGCTTGAAATTCTGCAGGATGGAGCTCCCAGGCAAAATCATGCTTTGAGCAATAAGGGTCTATCTAGGGAACAAAACAATCAAGTACCTGTAATACATCTGTACTAGATCCTGGCTTCTTAATATGTGAGTTATGACCTCATTGAGGATAACTTGAAAAAGGTGTCTTATAATCAATTTCTGTATACTTTATTATCAGTAATTTCTGATTTGCATACCTATTTTAAATACCTGCACACCTTTAGCTGCAGACACATTTCTTGGGAGTAAAAAAGGACAAGTGGCAAAATTTTAATAAGTCCTATCAATACTCAATAGCCCTGAACTTTTCAATGTGTCACGGCTGCCAAATGGATAAGGTTGCTGGTATAATTAGGGAAAAGTCAGAGGGTTGTGAGGTTCCTTTTCCCTAAGTCAAATGAGAGAAGAAATGCCCATATCTTCACAGACTACATGCAGATATTTCAGCAAGTCATAGTAGAGAGTTGGGGAAACCTCTCACATCACTTCCTATTTTAAAAAGTTTCTGCAATGTACTTTGCATTACTACCACCACACCACTTCTGAAATAAAAAAAAAGAAACAATGTCTCACCTTCTCTTTTATCCTCCACTCCACTACTCCCCCGTGCTCCCCGCCCCTGGCAAACATTTAGAAAAACTCTTTGGGGTTAGAAAAAGCTAAAAAAGAGTGTAGTGACTGAGGCTGGTGATTTGGAGGGTGTGAGAATCTCTCTGGCATACGCTGCCCATTGAATGGTACTGGCTGTAACTGTGCGAAGTCAGAACTTCAAAAATTTTTGCACCGATCAAAGACCCCACATCCCTAGCTAGACAACCCGCTAGTAGAGATTATGCATTAGAGTCCTTCTCAAAATGCTATTTTCTGTCCTTTATCTTACTGCACTATAAAACACACTATAGAACACTTGATGACGTTTCTCCACCATTTTCTGTATATACAATGCATGTTCACTGTACATGCTTCGGTCGTGCATGCTTACCATACATTTTTCATCATGAACATGTATGAGTTTCCTGAAAAGCTACTGAAATAAGTGTATGCTGCTATATCACTCTCTCTTTCTGCTGGACCTAAACCCAGACCCCCTACTCTTTTTTTTTTTGGGGGGGGGGGGAGATATTCTGAAGCCTGCGCTGGCTGACATCCTTCCCAGCTTATGCTATTTTCATGCCAATAAAGCCCTCCATTTTATTCAGTTGTTCCTGTGCTTTTTTCAAATAGAAATAATTTGGTGATAAAATCAACCCAGATCATGAGTTTAGTTGCTATTCGCTTCACATTCTCAGAATCAAATTAAATGCTTACCTGATGAAACAATATTGATACCAGCAAAGGGGCCTTTTGTTTTTGCTCCTTTAATTTGGAAAATGCTATAAACAAATTCCCAAGTTTTCGAAGTAAAAAAAAAAAACTTTACATGTGTTCTTTGTTAATATTAAGTAATTCATTTGGTTATAGCTTTTTAAAGCACTTCATCAAATCTGAAGAACAGCTTTAGGCCTTTTTTCTAAGCTTTTGATTTGACAGACATTGCACTATTTCATAGGACTTCAATGTCTAGTTTTGGTTTTTCTGATTTAACTTTCTGGGGGTTTGGGGACACATCTGGCAGTATTCAGGACTGACTCTTGCTTGTGTGCTCATGGGTCACTGCTGACAATTTTGTAGATCATACCGCAGTGCCTGTGATCAAACTCAGGTGGGCTGCAAGCGCTTTAACCGTATTACCTTTCTGTACCCCATTAATATCTAGCTT